TTTTGTAGAGATTTACACCCTGGCACTAAATCTGTTCAAGTGGTTCTGAGGTGAGTCACCTATACATTGGTAATATGACCCTAATCTTGGTGATCATAGAGAAAGTTTCTCTTCCAGTTGCTTTTTCATGTACTCTTATTGGTGCATTATACATTAAGTCCCCTTTCTTACATTTCTCTTTTAAGGATCTGTTATACAGACACCAGCTGCCCACAGGAGGATCAGTACCCACCTAACATTGCTGTAAAGGTTAATCACAACTACTGTTCTGTTCCGGTGAGTTGACAGCATTATAGCCTGATATATTCTGTTCACAATATTACAGTATTTAATCATCGGTAGTTTTTCTGTTTTTGCAGGGCTACTATCCCTCCAATAAACCTGGTGTTGAACCCAAACGACCATGCAGACCCATAAATCTCACTAATCTTATGTATCTGTCTTCAGCTAGCAATCGAGTGACAGTAACTTGGGGAAATTATGGCAAGGTAATAATAGTATAGAAAATTTACATGTATTGTGCACTATATTAAAAGAAAAATTCAGGCAGCTTGTTTGTACTATCTTTTGAACACCGTGACTCTCCATGTTAATATAAGTTACCTTGGGGCTTATATATGAGTAGTGTGCTTACAGGAGAAGTTCTCTTTGCCAATCGCAATTAAGAATACTTTTCTTCTATGTTCATTAAAGCGTACCTTTACACTAAAAAAAATCAAATTCTACCAATGCATCCCTCTATGTATGATGATTTAATATAGACATGTCAGGTGTAAAATGCTGTGATTTTGAAATACTTTAACTTGCAGAGTATTCACGTCCTGCTTTGAAAGGGCAAAATGACTTCAGTTTGCCAATGCGCAATGCACACTGGGATTGCCTTATCAGCAGAGATCTCAGGGAAAGGCATTTTCCTCCCCTGAAATGATGTGCAGGGTCACATGTCCTAGCCACTTGTCTAGTCACATGTGCCAGGAATCGGGAAGTAAAAGGTGAGCTAGTAATCTGCCCTTGGTAAACCTGACCACTGTCAGAAGACTGGGGAAGAAAAGAGAAATAAGGTATGCAAAGAATACAAAGCTGGTAATTATCTAGAAGTATGTGTTTGTAGATTGTCATTACTAAACATTTCTAAAGGTGTGTTTTGTTATTTTAAAAATATGGGTAAAGGTCCGCTTTAAGAGGCGCATGAATTTATAGACTGTTGGGTATGCTGCCACCTACAGGAGGATTTGGGCACTGGTAAACAAAATTGTGAGCCAGCCAAGTATGACCTGCATGCTTCAGTTTGTTACTAGTATTCTAGGCGGATGAATGCATTTTTTGCTATTTTACATTATTCATCAAGATTTCTATGGGCCGCGCATCAGGAGCTACCTTGTTACTATGTGCATTGAAAGGCATTTTAAAGTGACATTAAAGTAAAACATTTTTTCCCCTCCTCCCCATGTAAATGTTAGCACTTACCTTAAAAGATGTCTCTTATTCTGATCTTCCTCTTTCCCCATGTTTCATGTGTCCCTCCAGCGGTGCGGCAGCTCTCCGATCCAGCGCTGACTGCTCTGTCCCTCCTATCCAGCGGTGTCTGCATGCGGGTGCACGCGTCCATAGACTTACCTTGCGTCTCTGCTCGTCTCCCGGCCGAGAATCTGAACTAGGGCTGCAACAACTAATCAACATAATCGATTATAATCGATTATTGAAAAAGTTGTCAACTTTTTCAATCGATTTAATCAGCTTCCGATCAGTTGGCCCTGTTCACGACTCCACACACACTGCGCGCCGCACCTCCTCCCCAACTCATGCTCACCGCTGCCAGACCCGCCCGCCCGCATCCACGCTCTACATGCCGCACCTCCTTCCCGCCTCACACTCACCACCCGCCCACATCCA